TTCTCCACACTTGCAACGGGCCAATTTTCGTTTCCGCGCGACAAGTTCAGCCAACCAGTCTTGCCCGGGTTTGTTGACATCCGCGGACGCGGGCTGCGGCGTGCAGCGGCCGCCGCTGCTGTCATCGGGATCCGCTGACGCTGCATCAGCTGCTGGGCCTGGGCCGAGGCGCGGGCCGCGCTGACCGCCGCGGGGCAGGGGCGCGTGTTCGCTGGAAGGCTGCGCCTTCGAAGCCGCGGATTGCAGTTCGTCGCAGGGGGCAGCCATTTCTGTAGTCTCGCAGCGGGTCGTGTCCGTGGGTTCCGCGGGTGTGGACCCCGTGCCGAGCACGCCGCTTGCCATGTGGGTGCTCGGCGCCATCTTGGTAGGGTCTTTGGGCACAGGTGGAGAAGTAGGCACACTGCTTGGAACGACTTCACTCGTCGTTGGACAATCACTCAAGGGATCTTGATCACATTTACTTGCAAATTTAAAATTTGGTTCACCATTTTCTTCATTAAATGATGTGAAAATTCGAATGGCACGTCCTGAGGATCCAGGACCAAAACATTGCTCAATAGCATTTGAACTGCTCACAAAAATACTTGTCTGAAAGAGGTGAGCTGCTACATTTACAGCCACAGGCCAATTACATACCCCGGTTGCCAATCTTGAACAGCAGTCACTGGCGAGCTGGTAGCCACTGGTGTCTTTCCAGTGGGGGTAAAGTCGCTCCCAGTTCTCCTTCAGGTATGCGGCCAAAATCTTCCGTAGCACCCGAGCGTGTTTCCTGCTCGTTAATAATGCTTCACTAAGAATTTTAAAAACTTGATTTGTCTTCTTAATTTCTTGGTTGCTTCGCTCGGCTCCTGCCGGGCAAGCCGTTGTCGTTCGCGGCCGAAGCACCATGTTACCGTAGGAGGTTGGAAGTCCGGGTTTGGGGAGAGATAAGCAACTCAGGTGGTTGGATGCCGGTGGCTGCACTATATTTGATCGGTGGTTCTCGGTAGGACGCGACTTGCTGGTGGTCCGCCACGCAGGGCGGAAGGGTACGCAATCGCGAACGAGTATCCGGGTGAACCGTCGCGCAGGACGGGTGGTGCGGAACTCCCGTCTGGCTGCACGGCTGCGCCGTGCGTGCCTGACCCAAAGTGCTGATGATGCACCTTGGCCCTAGGCTGGAAGCCAGCGGGGCCAACAGCCCTCCAGCCTGCTTGGCGCCCTGAACCGCCTGGGTGGTAGGCAATCTGGCCACACGGCCGTTGCGCGGGCCTGCCAACCTCATCCAAGGCTCCCATGCGTAAAGCGTCCCGCAAATCGCCGTTTATCGGAACTGCCAAGATTAGCCCGATGCAAGTTCCCGCTTAGCGCCTTGGGGGTAGGCAACATCTCGCCTGCCGAGCACGCGTGTACTGCAGGGTGGCCTACCCCGAGTTTCGCAGGCGTCGAGCCTGCGTAATCAGTGTCGAATGACTCTGGAAAAAACAACAAAAATGGCGTATTCTTGGAAGCTTCCTCCCCTTACGCGCGTGTGAGTGCGCGCGTGCTGATTTTGTTTTCATTTTTATTTTTTTCCCACCCTTCAAAACGTCAAACGTCTGCGTCCGTCGGACTTGGCACAGGCATGCACATATTTTTGTTTCGTCAGATTTGATGGATTAGCCATGCGCGGAGTGAGCAAAAGGATCTGGTTCACTGGAGCGCATGCGCAGTGTGTCATTCGTACCTCTCTTTACTGTCCGTCCCGTTTCCCCCTCCCCCCTCTCCTCCCCCCGGACTGCTCGTCCAAAGGGCCCCTGCGGGCACAAAAACTCGTGCAACAATTGACGCACGTTGAGAGTTGGGCTCGCCGCGCGCGCCTTGGAGCGAAGACCTACTCGGCAATACTTCATCACCGTGGCAAGCGAGATACCCGCGGTACACTGCTATTGTTGTGCGCGCAGTTTTGGAGAATTTTTAAAAAAAATTGAAGCAAAGCAAAAATGAAAATTGCTAGAAGTTATTATGTGCGTCCAATTTACGCGCCGCCTGACTTTTAGCCAATAGGGCCCGCCCTTTGGGGTACAATATATTACCTTTCTCACAATATATTTGTACATCGGGTTACAAATATCATGGAGGTCAATAATGTATAAATAGTGTACACACAATCACACAAAAATCAGGGCAAAATAAATTAAAAACTGCCGCACGGGGTGTAGCAGCCTCGCGGTCCCCCGCGCAAGGTCCAGCTCGGAGGCTGGGCCGTTGGCCCTCCCGCCGTCGTATCTCGCGCCCGACTTAACAGCATCTCGCCGGAGGATTAGCCTGCTGAGCATGATTCATTAGCGCTCATCACATCGACAGAATAATGGGGAAAGCAGCAAGAGCAGCGACGACGGCGGTGGCGGCGGTGGCGGCGCCCCGCGCGCTCTGGATCCGCGGCGCGGGCGGGACGGGACGGGACGGGCGCAGGGCGGACAGAGGACCATAAGTCTAGGTGCGGTTGGGAGGGCGGAGCGGAGAGGAGGGAGTCGGTCGCGGCAGCAGCACTACTTGCAGCAGTCCCACACCACCGCGGGGAGAGATGGCGCTCAAAGAGCCTCTCGTAAAGTGTGCAACGGACTCGCGCGCACACACAACACACACACACACACACCACACACACACCGCGATACTCCGGTTTGTGTGTGTGTGTGTAAGAGAGAGATAGAGGGAGAGAGAGACCCAGCAGGCGGAGGAGCAGCCATAGGGATTAACGAAGAAGCCCCAGCAGCGCGCTGGGTGCAGCAGCAGCGTTGGGTGCAGCAGCGCAACGCGGCTCAAGGCGGTCGGTGCAGCACACGGCACACGCGCGTCTTTTCCCCGTAAATTGAAAATCAGACACGGCGCGCGGGGTGACTTATGACCGGGCTTTGGCCGACATCCATGGGAGTGTGGGGGCCGGCAGTGCTGCGGGGCCGTTACACGTTCATTTGACTGGTCAATCGGACTCGCCCGCGTGTGAAATTGACAGCCATTACTTCTCTTGCTTCGGGACCGGGCCGGGCGTGTGGGGGAGGCAGCGGGGTGGGGCGGGCGAGGGAACCTCAACGCACGAGGCAGCGAGGAAAGAAAGAAGAGCGGAGAAGCAAGGTGTTTTTTTCCGCCTTTCTTTGCTTTCTTTTGGTTTATGTTTCTACGATAACAAGTATGTCCTTTTTTTAAGTGGTGTGTAAACGTTGGATTTTGGTAGGTTTACGCAAAGCAGGTTGCTGCAACTGTTGAGCATGGAGGAAGAGTAGTAAATTCTGTAGTCGACCATAATATTATGCTGCTCGGTGCCGCTGAAGAGTTGGTGTTGGTGCGCAAGGCTGCAAGACTATACACACAATACCCCCCCCCCCTCTTTTCATTTCGGCCCTGCTGTACTCCGTGGCCGGCGCCGCGGCACCCTCGCGTCTTAAAACCTTCCTGGTCTAAAAGTATAGTCTGTCGGCTCCTACCTACGGCAACAGCGACCCGACTGGATGCGCTGCTCCACGCGCTCGGGAGATGCCAACGACGGGATAATGTGTATTTGGACGAAACGCTATACTCACCGCCCCCCCCTCTCTCTCCCTCTCTCTCTCCGCGTCTCTCTCTCTCTCTCTCTCTCTCTCTCTCTCTCTCTCTCTCTCTCTCTC